CTCAGATTCATGACCATTAAATCCAATATCTGCGAAATTTGTGATATCCAATTCCGGTACCATAATTTCCAAGGACGGGGAGGGGGGGGGAGAGGGGAAGGGGAGGGAATAATGGAGTGAGAGGGGGAGGAGAGAGGGGAGGGGATGTAAATATTCAACAAAAAATAAAAATCCCGTAAAATAACACTATTTTAAGAGACCGGGTACAGTCCACCTCCTCGCCCCATCCCACTACAATGCTGTCCTGTATTCGAAAAGTTGTCCCACTGTACTGGGCTCAAGGGAATCAAAATGAGGTAAGAACGTGAAACTTTCTAACAAAATCTTGGTATGAGGTGAAAATTATATTCTGTATATATTTATAAAATTCAACACAAATCCATTATATGCATTTCCATTTTAATTAGTGTTTTTTTTCTTCTTTGTATAAACCAGAATTAATACGACCATCAGTACCCGGGAGATTGGTGTGTGTGTCTCACTAATGCTGAATAATAATGAATGATAATGACACAATCCTACTTTGTAATCCGTATGCTGCTGAGGAACACAAACACACACAAGGCCGGGTGTGTAGTGAGGGTGATGACGGGGGCCCGGGTGTATGGTGAGGGTGATGAGCATAGGGAGGATGGGGGGGCTAGTGTGGTGATACTTAAGTGCACAGCTCCGAGCCCCGACGACCCCCGACCCGCCCTAGTGAACCTTGGCTGCAACAGAATACAACTCCAGGTACTGTACGCTTGTGTTCAATATTACTAATTAAAGGTAAGGCAGGTAATTGTTAAAGATACTGTTAAAAATATATAGTCGAATATGTAAGCTTCACTTACTGTGGTGAACCCTGTCTGCTGCTACACACCGAGGGAATGGGGTGTTTACAAAGTCCCTTGATGTCTCTGTTTACATAGCTCCTCTTCGGCTTTGAGTAACATCAGCATATCACGACGCACACACCACCACCACCACGACGCACACACCACCACCACCACGACGCACACAACTACACCGCGACGCTCACACACGGCTTACACACCACCACCACGTACACGCCACCACCACGACGTACACACCTGCACCACGACGCACACAACTACACCGCGACGCTCACACCACCACGGCTTACACACCACCACCACGACGTACACACCTGCACCACGACGCACACAACTGCACCACGACGCTCACACCACCACCACGACGTACACACCTGCACCACGACGCACACAACTGCACCACGACGCACACACCACCACCACGACGCACACAACTGCACTACGACGCACACACCTGCACCACGACGCACGAGAATTGCTGTTCGACACCACAACCGCACCCAGCCCATACGAGCACGTACTGATCGCTATAAGAACAGCCCAGTCCCAACCATTGTAAAAATAATCAATAACGTGTAATCAACCAGTTTATTCACTCCCAGTCAATCTTACCTTTTGCACTGTCACTATGTTGAAATGCCCTGTAGTATGACCTTCTCCCCACCTAGTTATTATATATCATATTTGTATCACTTATGTTACTTGTATATTATTGGTAAATCAAGAGACCCATTCCCCTATTATGTAACTGTATATTTTCAGCCTTTTAGTTGCCATGCTCTTTAAATAAACCGTTAATTATTATTATTATTATTATTATTATTATTATTATTATTATTATTAACTGCACCACGACGTACACACCTGTACCACGACGCACACACCTGCACCGCTACGTACACACCAGTACCACGACGTACACGCCTGCACCGCGACGTACACGCCTCCACCACGACGTACACACCTGTACCACGACGTACACACCTCCACCACGACGTACACACCTCCACCACGACGTACACACCTCCATCACGACGCACACACCAGTACCACGACGCACACACCTGGACCGCGACGCACACACCTGGACCGCGACGCACACACCTGGACCGCGACGCACACACCTGGACCGCGACACACACAACTGCACACAATAAGAACCAACTCCTTCTGGAGACAACACCGCCTTGGTCCCCCGCCTCGCCAAACAGAACCACTAATTACATACTAGTTAATGATCGTTACATCTCCTCGTCGGTAGTTTAACCACAATTTGTTGATCCACCAAGCTCTATGTATGTATGTACTGTATGTATGTATGTATGTATGCATGTATGTATGTATGTATGTATGTAAGCTTTTTGGTGGTGATTGGGAGAGACTGAGGAGGATGGACTGAGGGAGGGAGCGTTGGTGGTGAGGGAGGGAGTGTTGGTGGTGAGGGAGTCAGTCTAGGGGAATTTTACACCACCAGCGCTCAATCTAGAGGAATAATATCCAATTTTTGTTATTTTCTCGACGTCATTTCAATAATAATATTATACCCAGGATGAATAATTTATGTGTAAGTATGCATATTCTTATTCATTAACCAGTAAAATAAAACAGAAAAAGTAATTAGTTTCTCATTGACAAAAAATCATCATTAATATATACAAATAATAAAAAATATAACAATGAAAGAAAACGTTAAGGATAATGAAGGGTAACTAAACTAATTCCAAAGTTTATTTCATTATTACAAGTAGTGAGTTTGGAGGAGGTTAGGGAGTGAGGAAGGAAGAAGAAGGCTTTTTTTTTTACTTACATCATCATCATTACCACCTTCTTCTTCCTCCTCCTCCTCCTCACCTCCCTCACTACATCAGGACGCACACTTGCCTCATCAATTGTCTGATGAGAAACAATAATAATAATAATATGTTGTATAAACCTTTGAAGATATGTGGATGATATGTTGGACACAGGGACACTAAGTATAATAATAATGATCAGCTAAGTCTTATTGATCAGCTGTATAATGATCAGCTGTATAATGATCAGCTGTATAATGATCAGTTGTTTAATGATCAGCTGTTTAATGATCAGCTGTTTAATGATCAGCTGCATAACAATCGGCTGTATAATGATCAGCTGTATAATGATCAGCTGTATAATGATCACACACTTGTTCAGGCAGCGTTCTGTTTGGTGGAGGAATGTGGGGGGGGGGTCAGTGAGGCTATAACTGTGTATGTGTGTTTGTTTGTGCTAGAGATCTTATAGAAACATACACACACACACACACACACACACACACACACACACACACACACATCTGCAAATTTGGTAAGAAGCTTCTACACCAACCTCGACACGGGCTCCTACTACCACCTGAGATCCCTCGCCCGAGAATTGCTGTTGGACACCACAACCGCATCCAGCCCATACGTGCACGAACTGATCGCTATAAGAACAGCCCAGTCCCAACCATTGTAAAAATTATCAATAACTTGTAATAAACCAGTGTATTCACTCCCAGTAAATACTACTTCTTGCACTGTCACTATGTTGAAATGCCCTGTAGTATGACCTTCTCTCCACCTAGTTATTATATATCATATTTGTATCACTTATGTAACTTGTATATTATTTGTAATTCGTAACCCATTCCCCAAATTATGTAACTGTATATTTTCAGTCTTCTGGCTGCCAAGCTCTTTCAATAAACCGTTAATTATTATTATTACTATTACACACATGTACAACCATACAGCATCCATACAAACAAACAGACACATAACACACGTACACAAACATACACACACACAGACACACACAGCCATACACACGTGACACAAACACAAATATGTATAAGATCATGTATAAAACCATGTATAAAGCCATGTATGAAGCCACCAATACAGTGAACTCCGAAACATGTATTATGGAAAGACATATATCTGTACGTGTGTGTGTGTGTGTGTGTGTTATTTAAGTCTATAAAAGGGATGTGTATGTATAAGATCATACATATGTATTTATAAACATATGTATACCTGTTTACATGTATACCTGTATGCCAACAGTACCCCAGCCACACACACCTCCACCTGTAAGACTCATCACAATCTTACTAATTATATATCGCTACAGGTAGATCGTACAACTAATGTATTAAAAACTATTTACACACACACACACACACACACATTAAAACAAACGAACAGAACAATTAAAAAACACCCATACACAGGTAATCAAAAACCTTGTGAATTTTTTGGGGGAAGATAAATGATGTTTCTGTCTTCATTTCTACACTTCCATTTTGCTTTGTATATATGACAGACAGACACACACACACACACACACACACACACACACACACACACACACACACACACACCCACGCTACATAAGGATTGATCCATCTTTTAATAACCTCTACAAAATGTCCTGTAGAACAATGCTGTAGTGACTAACGCCTATAAAGACTCCTTCAATCCCAAAAACGTCAAACTCTATAACAATTAAGTTTGATGGAAGATTATTTGGGATCTGTCAATCTCAATTCAGTGTAAAAACTGGTTCTTTTTCTGGGGAGGGGGGATGGGGGGTTGGGGGGGCGGAGGAGGTTAATTAGGCATCGGATGAGGGTCAAAGCTCAGGTGAGGAAGGGGGGTGGTGTGGGGAGGATCTAGACTTAATATTCAGGTGAGCACATGAGTGTATGTACTCAGGAAAGGTGGGCAGACTAGTGTAGACGATCACAGGTGAGAAGAAGCTTTAATAGGTAGATAAAAGGTGATTACAGGTGAAGCTGCTACACTTAAGAGGAGGAGGAGGAGGAGGAGGAAGAGGAGGAAGACAAGAAGCAAGAGGAGGAGGAAGAGGAGGAAGGAAAGCCGTGCATGAGAAGTACGGTCATGTAATTAAAGGTAAATGAGTAGGCAGTGATAGCAGGCAGGTGCGGCTACAGGTGTTAGAGGTAAGAAGAGAGAGAGAGAGAGAGAGAGAGAGAGAGAGAGAGAGAGAGAGAGAGAGAGAGAGAGAGAGAGAGAGAGAGAGAGAGAGAGAGAGAGAGAGAGTAGTAATAATTGTAGACAGACAGACAACAACAAAGACGTACAGTGGTATCGGTTAGGTTAGGTTAGGTTAGGTTAAGTTAGGTTAGGTTAGGTTAGGTTAGGTTAGGTTAGGTTAGGTTAGGTTAGGTTAGGTTAGGTTAGGGTCATACCATACCACCATACAGTGCAGCATCAGTTAATGTTAAAATAGAGAGGGAATTAAGAGTTAATGATCCTCAAGACAGGTGAGGTGACCAAAGCAGAGACGATGACTGCCCAGGACTTGGTGAATTATGTGGACGTGAGGAGAAGGAGGCAGTGTCTAGTATCGGGTCACAGAGGTCATCCAACGACGCTGAGGTGTACAGTACATGTTCCACGACGCTCATGGAACAGAAACATCAGAAACAGGAGGACCAATCAAGACAGTATCAATTGTAGCAGAAGAAGCAGCAGTAGCAGTAGTTGTAGTTGTAGTAATTGGATCAACAGGAACGTGTGACACAGTGGCAGCAGCAAGAGGGAGAACGGACGCGGCAGCAGCAGTATCAAGGACGGGGACGGTGCTCTTGTCATGGGCTGTCAAACAGAAATAAATTACTGACATGAAGCAACAGATGTGTGTGTGTGTGTGTGTGTGTGTGTGTGTGTGTGTGTCATATTACCTGACACACACACACACACACACACACAACCACACAACTACAAAAATACTGTAATTCCACTATATACATTTAAAAGTCGAATAATGTCAGATAACATAATATCACTCATAAAAAACTCACAAAATCTCATTAAAACACAAAGGAACTCATGAAATCACTCAGGAACTCATTAAAACATACAGCAACTCATTAAAACACACATGAACTCATTAAAACACACAGGAACTCATGAAAACACGCAGGAACTCATAAAAACACGTAGGAACTCATTAAAACATACATGAACTCATTAAAACACACAGGAACTCATGAAAACTCGCAGGATCTCATAAAAACACGTAGGAACTCATTAAAACATACAGGAACTCATTAAAACACACATGAACTCATAAAAACACACAGGAACTCATGAAAACATGCAGGAACTCATAAAAACACGTAGGAACTCATTAAGACATACAGGAACTCATTAAAACATACATGAACTCATTAAAACACACAGGAACTCATTAAAACACACAGGAACTTCTTAAAACATACAGGAACGCTTTAAAACACGCAAAAGCTCATTAAAACACACAGGAACACATTAAAACACGCAAAAGCTCATTAACACACACAGGAACACATTAAAATACGCAGGAACTCATAAAAGCACACAGGAACTCATTAAAACACACAGAAACTTATTAAAACACGCAGGAACTCACGAAAACACGCAGGAACTCATAAAAACAAACTCATTAAAACACACAGGAACACATTAAAGCACGCAGGAGCTCATAAAAGCACACAGGAACTCATTTAAACACACAGAAACTCATGAAAACAAACAGGAACACATTAAAACACGCAGGAACTTATAAAAACACACAGGAACACATTAAAACATGCAGGAACTCAAAAAACACACAGGAACTCATTAGAACATGCATGAACTCATAAAAACACAAAGGAAAACTCGAAACACTTACAGCAACGTAAATATACTCAGAAGTGTTGAGGGAAAGCAGGAGAGAGGTGAGGAAAACCCCCTTGGATAAACACGTAAGGACCCAATTTCTCGCCTTGTGGGATACAGTGCGTTACTAAGGGTACGCTGACGACTCGGGTATCTGTGTGTCGTCAGAAAGAGAGAGAGAGAGAGAGAGAGAGAGAGAGAGAGAGAGAGAGAGAGAGAGAGAGAGAGAGAGAGACTCACCTGAGTTACAGAACCTGTCAGCCTTGGGACTCTCAAATGAAGTTATCATGACCCCAGCCACGTCCCAGCTGCCGAAGGAAAACACATCATCACACACACAATACGACACGTCCCCCCCCCCCTCTCCTACCTCTTCCTTATCTCCCTCAACCCCCTTAATCTCATCCCTTCTCCCTTATCTCCGTCTCCCTCACCACTCCTCTCTCTAGCCTCTCATATCTCACTCTCCCTCAACCACCTCTCCATCACCCATCTCTCCCCCAACCACCTCTCCCTCAACCATCTCTCCCTCAACCACTTCTCCATCACCCACCTCTCCCCCAACCATCTCTCCATCACCCATCTCTCCCCCAACCATCTCTCCATCACCCACCTCTCCATCACCCACCTCTCCATCACCCACCTCACCCCTTCTGTTATGTTATGTAATCGTGTTGTGAAGTTAGGCGATAATAATAATAATAATAATAATAATAATAATAATAATAATAATAATAATAATAATAATAATAATAATAATAAAAGGCATTAATAATAATAATAATAATAATAATAACAGGTTGGTGTAAAGTAAAGGCTTGTATGCTTGTAGGTAATATATCCAACAATTTAGGTGCGTGTTGGCAAGTAATATTTTCGACGAATTTTATGTAACTAAAACTCGTATTCCGGGTTTAACTTAAGACTTAACACACTTCATATATCAGAACAATATTTTTCCGGAAAACAATAAAGAATAACAATATTTTCGTCGAATTACCTACCATTAAAATCGGAAAAAGTTGTTATCAAGTCTAATACAACATTCATCTCTTGTTTGTTTGTTTACTTTTTCGTCAAAATGGCGGACTGGGGGGGAATGACGTCACACCAGATGACGTCACACCAGGAGATGACGTCACACCAATTCTCCAATAGTGTGTAATTATTTGTCACTATATTAGATCTGTTTAGTTATGCGTTAAATGACACCTAGTGTGTACCTCAATAAGTGTGAGTGACAGTGTAAGAGTGGGTGAGTGACAATACTCCTCCACACACACACACACGCTTACAGTACACTTACCTTTATATACAAGCCTTGGGTCTGATATTCTGCAGCGTTCATCCTGGAAGAAGAAAATCAAGATGTTAGTGTACCGTTATTATCCCAGTAATTGTACCATTATTGTACCATAGCGATAACCCAGAAATTGCACCGTACCATTGTAATATCCTAGTATTTATAACAAGAGTACCACTTTTCTACCAAATTAATCGTACCGTCACTGTACCATAGAGAAACAGACAATTGTACCAGCATTGTGTTGATACAGACGACATCACCAGCAGACAGAGGGGTGAGTGTACTCGAGTGAGGAAGCTCAACACAAGAAGAAGATTAGCGGATTTCTTACCAGAGCAGGAGACAGGGAGGGTGGCAGGGAGGAAAGGAGGAAGGGAGGGTGGCAGGGGGGAGAGAGAGGAAGGGGAGGGAGGCAGGCAGGCAGGGAGGGTGGCAGGGAGGAAAGGAGGAATGGAGGGTAGGGGGAGAGAGAGGAAGGAGGGAGGCAGGCAGGTGGGAGGAGGGCAGGGAGGAAAGGGAGGAAGGGAGGGGTGGCAGGGGGGGGAGAGAGGAGGAAGGGTGGAGGCAGGCAGGCAGGGGAGGGGTGGCAGGAGGAAAGGAGGAAGCGAGGGTAGGGGGAGAGAGAGGAAGGAAGGGAGGGGAGGCAGGCGGGGCAGGCAGGAGGCAGGCAGGAGGCAGGCAGGAGGAGGCAGAGAGCGGGGCACGGGGAAAGGTTTAAGTAATTATATATAAGTTAAAGAAGCAGCAGGTAAGAAGAACCAGTGAGAGAGGGAGAGAGGGAGGGACGGAAGGAGGGAGAGAGGGAAGGAGAGGACGTAGGGAGGGAAGGAGGGAAAGAGGGAGGGAGGGAAGGAGGGACGACTCAGGGTAAGTAAGTCATTCTGTCTGGCAATGCTTGATCTCAGACCTCCGCCACCTGTGTGTGTGTGTGTGTGTGTGTGTGTGTGTGTGTGTGTGTGTGTGGAATTTAAATTGAGTATGGACTTTAGGACACTCATGTATGGACTTTAGGACACTCATGTATGGACTTTAGGACACTCATGTATGGACTTTAGGACACTCATGTAAACTTTAAATCTATTTGGATGGATTCTGGAATAAGCTTGAAACTGGAACGGAATTGTTTTGGAATCTGGAATTTGGTAGGAATACTGGACTAAGTATAAAGTTGTGGACGGTATTTAGGAAGATATTCAGAATGTATCAAACTGCTGGCCACACACGCATGTACACACAGACACACACACACACACACACACACACGCATGTATATATATGAAAAACACAGTGTCTCCGTATGGCAACACTGACAATGGTCGAAGGTGGGGGCAGCTGGGGGGGGTAGGAGAACCTGGGGGGGAGAGAATGGGGAGGAAGGAAGGGAGGAGGGGTGGACGGAATTGCGAAAGAGATTTTCAGCAAACAAATAAACGTAAATACAAAAACAAAAAGGAACAAATAACGAAATCCAATGCCTTCTCTCTACACATGAGAGATGGGGGAGGGAGCCAGTTTGAAATATCATGAACGTGTTATTATTATTATTTTTACCTATAACTACACAACAACAACAACAACAACAATAACAACAACAACAACAACAACAATAATAATAATAATAATAATAATAATAATAATAATAATAATAATAATAATAATAATAATAATAATAATAATAATAATAATAATAATAATAATAATAATAATTTACTAAGAGTCACGATATGTATTATGCCAGTCATTACCCAACATATCAGCATAGTACCACACACTCACCAGTTCATACGATATACTTCCCTGATATACTTCCCTCATAACAGCAAGAACCAGAATGGCCTCAAAATCACACCTAAACTGTGTTAATTAGATAATAAGTTCACTTAACACCATCATGAGGTCAACTTAACACTACTTAAGGATTATAAGTAGTGGACACAATGATGATGAGTCCTTACTTCACATCTAACCCCTCTGAACCTTAGAGTGCTTATAATCCGGACTTGCTGGGGTACCTATAATCCGGAATTCTTGGTGTACCTATAATCCGGAATTCTTGGTGTACCTATAATCCGGACATGCTGGTGTACCTATAATCTGGACTTGCTGGTTTACTTATAATCTGGACTTAGTGGAGTGCCTATAATTCGGATTTGCTGGAGTACCTACAATCCGGATTTACTGGAGTACCTATAATCCGGATTTGCTGGAGTACCTACAATCCGGATTTACTGGAGTACCTATAATCCGGATTTGCTGGAGTACCTACAATCCGGATTTACTGGAGTACCTACAATCCGGATTTACTGGAGTACCTATAATCCGGATTTGCTGGAGTACCTATAATCCGGACTTCTTGGAGTACCTATAATCTGGACTCCCCAAGAGTTTACCTGTAATTAATAATGACTGTGGCAGGTGTGATGCAGCGAGATGAGTGTAGTTCCAGGTTCATGACTTAGGAGTTAGATTGCTCACTTCATTAGTCTGTCTGTCTGTCTGTCTGTCTACTTGTGCGTCTGTCTCCTGTCTTTGTCTGTCTGTTTGTCTCTATCTCATTCTATCTTGTGAGAGAGTGGGTGAGTGTGTGATGAGTAGAAGTGTGTGAGAGTGGGGTAGTGTGTGTGAGTGTGTGTGAGTGTGTGGGTGTATGAGGGATTGTGTAAGATTGTGTGGGTGTGGTAGTGTGTGGGGGGTGTGTGTGGGATTGTGTGGAAATGTGTGGGACAGCGTGGGAGAGTAAAGGGGTGGGAGAGACTGCATACAAAACTTACAGAAAATATTTATATACTAAAAAAAATAAAGAACTGATGCAACGTGTGGGTGGGGGAGGCGAAGGCTGGTCGACGCCCATTCTGGAACAATGGTTTTAAAAAGTTGTGTTCCTAAAAAAAAAAATGAAAAACCCGTTCTGGCTGTGTCTGGCACCCAGGTAGAGGAGAGGGGGAGAAAGAGGGGGAAGTGAGGGTAGATGAGGGTAAAGGGAGGGGGAAGGAGGGAGTAGGAGAGGGAAGTGTGAGGGTAGGGGGAGGGATAGGGAGGGTGGAGAGTAGTGAGTGAAAGTACGAGTAGAGAAAAGATGATAATTTTTAAAAAATCGTCAAAATATCTTAGAAAATTCTTTCATTCGCCAAAATTTCTTACTATATAGGCCCAAAAGTTCGCCAAAAATCTCTTATCCTCTCTTATTCGCCAAAAATCTCTTAGTAATAGGCTTACAATATCGTCAGAATTTTTCGGAATGGTGATAAAAATTTTCGGTCAAATTTCCTCAAACACGAGAGTTAGGATTTGCCCAGAGAGTAAGAGAGGAGGGCCTGTGTACTCCCCTAGCAGTGTGCCGGGCGGTGTGGACTGGTTCTGATGTGCTCTGGTGATATGCTACTGTAGTGTGGGAAGTAATGATATAAGTGTGGGAGTGTGGGAAGTAATGCTGAGTGCGAGAGTGGGAAGTAATGCTGAGTGGAAGAATGGGAAGTAATGCTGAGTGGAAGAGTGGGAAGTAATGCTGAGTGGAAGAGTGGGAAGTAATGCTGAGTGGAAGAGTGGGAAGTCATAGAGTATTTATAGTTAATTTCCTCAGATAATCACAGGTTGAGATTTGTCCACAAACTAGGGAGTAAAATAAACTTCTTGCTCAGGTAGAGAGTCTGGGTAATGGCCACGATAATTCTGGCTGTCTGGTAAGATTGTCCGCACCAGCGCCATCAGGACACACACACACACACACACACACACACACACACACTGCTTAGAGAGGAACCTAGACAAATGTTCACCGTATTCTTGTCCTGTCAAAGACCATTTTCATTTACGATAAACCTAACCTAACCTAAATCTAACTACAGATCGCTGTTATTTTCACCATTTGTGTCTGGTTTTCCTTGTATAATATGTCGTCCTTGTAGGTTAGACATAAAGCCAGAGTTGTCAGCCACACCTTGTAATGTCTGTCTGTCATGGGTGATAACTGAGGTCCGTCACATATCATTAACAACGTAAATCCTCATTATTTAAAAAAAAATATATCCCCCCCCGTTAACTTTCTCTGAGGAAAATTTGCTGGATATTTTCTCACCATTTTCAAAAGAGATGAAAAAAAATAAAGAGCAGAAAGAAAAAACGATAATAATTTTAAACATTTCACTCTGAGGAAAAATTCTTGGTCATCTAAATTCTGGCACTTCTCTCCCGCGCCAACTTATCTTTCTAACACTTATTAACACGCGGGCAAAAATGAGTAAACGTGCCTCGGCAGGGCGTTTACAGGCACTTGTGTACAAACGTTGTGAGCTCATTGCAGTTGGTGAGCCTTACTTTCACCCGGAGGTAGCGGAGGTCGGAGGCAGGTCAGGGAGCTGTTCTCACCCTCGACACCCTGAGCAGGAGAGGTCATACTCATCTGCCTCGGGCTCTCGCTGTTTCACTCTCCGCTCCATACCTTTGCTAAATAAATTCACTCCAAATGGTTCCATAAATGTAATTGCTGGAAGCCGCTGCAAGTACTGATGACATTTCGACCAAGTTTGGGGTGGGCAATATTTCAGAGGAGCGCGTGTATGTGTGTGTGTACAGGAAAGGCTTTAGACGTTCTTAAAACCAACCAACTAACTTACTCCCAAGAACGGGAATAATTAAAAAAAAAAAAAACTTTGCGGGGTTGAAGAAAAATAAGTTCAGGATTAATTTTCTTAACATGCAACAAATCATCGGAATAAACATGGCGGGAGAGAGAGAGAGAGAGAGAGAGAGAGAGAGAGAGAGAGAGAGAGAGATAGAGAGAGCTAGGGAGAAAATGGAGGAAATGAAGAAAAATGGTGGAGGAGGAGCAGAAGAAGAAGAAAACTGATAAAAAGGTGAAGAAAAGAGACAAAAAGAAGGAATGAGAGAAATAAGAAAGAAATAAAGAAAGAACACGTGATAGAGGATAAAAAACAGGAATAAAACAAAAGAAGAGAATAACCTCAGAACCCAAAAACGAACAAGGAGTAAGAAGCAAAACGATAACTGAGAAAATAACCATAAAAAGAGAGAGTTAGGAAAGAG